GGGGGGGGGGGGGGAGGGGTTCGAACCGGTAGTGACCCCCCCTGGTTTTCCGCCAGCAGCGGTAGAACACGCTCTTTCTGTTTTATGGCTGTTCAAGCTTTATGCTTCGTTGCCACGTAGTGGTCTTGCAAGCGCACAGGCAAGGTCAGCAACAGTGGCTCATTACCTGGCCTGTTCTGGCTGCGTCTGCTCCTGCTGCCGACGAGGACGTGAGCAAGGTCAGGGAAATGAATCCTGCCTGGGTCATGCGTGTGCCAGAATCGGGGATGGACAGACCCCCCTTTAGTAAAACGTGGCTTAGTGAAAACGACCTGAGGCCCAAACCTGGCGGGCGCAAGCCTGGAAAATAACGGCCACGGCGCCCTCTCGAGAACCGAAAACGGACAATTCACTAATCGACGTGTCACTGTTGGGGGTTCTGTCCACCTCCGACAGAATACGTCGATTCGGTACAGACTCTCGTCCCCATCCCTGCCGTCGCCGCTCGCCGTCGCCGTTCGCCGTCGCTGGCTGCCGCACCTTCTCTCTGCACGGACCTCGCGCCCATGCGGGGCGCGCGGGGGGCCCACCTCGAATCCTAGAATCCTCCTCCTCCTCCTCCTCCTCCTCCTAAAATTCGTCCTCCTCCTCCTCCTCCTCCTCCAACTCGTCCACCTCCTCCTCCTCCTCGTCCCTCCTCCTCGTCCACTTCCTCCTCCTCCTCCACTCCCTCCTGGACTCCGCCGTCTCGATTTGACCTGACCCGGGCTCGGGGTAAGGAGCGCGCCCGTCCATGCCACAGGCGGGCTGACGCTGCAGCAGACTGGACGGAGTGCGCAGGGGTCTCTCCTCCCATCTTTCTCGGGACTCAGGATGGTGGCAGTGTCAGGGTCTCTCCTCCCTGTCCTTCGTAGGACTCAGGGATCAGAGTCTCTCATCCCTGTCCTCCAGGGTGCTGCTCGGTGCCCTTGGAGCCCTCCCCCTCCTGGCCTTCGCCAGGGGGAGGGGAGGAAGACCCAAGCAGGCAAGGGAGAAAGGAGGAAAACGACCGACCGACGGAGACGTGGTCGGCTGCCAGAGGAAAACTCTGTCCGCTTCCTCATCGTCCTCGTCATGACCATCTCCCTCAAGGAGGGAGGACAGGCAGGAGGGGCAAGGGGGACGAGGCAGGGATGAGTGAAGATGGAGCACGAAGAATAATAATCAAAGGAAGGGAGAAGAAGAAGAAGAAGAAGAAGAAGCAGAGGAAGAAGAAGAAGAAGAGAAATAATAATATTAGTAGTATTAATAATATTAATATTATTAATAATAATAATAATAATAGTAATAATAATAATAATAATAATAATAATAATAATAATAATAATAATAATAAGCATAATAATAATAATAATACTAATAATAATAATAATAATAATAATAATACTAATACTAATGATAATAATAGTAATAATAATAATAACATTAATAATAATATGAATGAGGAAAAAAAAGAGCAAGGGGGAAAATGAGAGATTCTGCCCGACGCAGCCAAGCGGCACACACACACACAACGTCGCAGTAGACAGCACACTCGATGCGTGGAGCAGCAAAACCACCTGATCCACAGCCGAGGCAACTCCAGGAAAGCACAAGACACCAACAAAAATGCACAAGCACAAGCTTGCGCACGCCCGTGCGGACTCCCTCTGCCGGCGCCGAGCCCCCCCCGCGTCCCCCGGGCGCGCTTGCCGGGAGCGGCGACGGAGGCGCCGCCCGGGAAGGCGCAGCGGGGGGCCCCGGCGCCGAGCCGAGCAACCCGCGCGGGCAGCACCGCTCTCGGAGAGCGCCTGTCTTTCTTTTCCGCGCTGGCGGCCGCTGCCGGCCTCAGCCGCACCCCCCCCCCCGCCCTGGCCCCCCAGGTCACGTCACGATCCGTTTCGTGCCGACCTCCTGGACGGCGCAGCGTGACGTCACCACCGCCGCCCCCCTGCAACGCCCGTCATCGCCCGGGAAGCCGTCGGGACCCTCGTAGGGCCATCAGGCTGCGGGGAGTAGGCTTGCTGCTCCCTGCTCCATTTCCAAACTCCAATCTCCAACAGTATAATCATACCTTCCACCCCTCACTATAAAAAGTTGAACTGTCCGCGCGAGAAGGGGAAGCCCCAAACCGGCATTTCACCACGCCCCCATGGGGGGGCCCAGAATTCCCCGGAGGGCCGTGGGACACATCAAAAAAAATCAGAGTCGCACCCCAGAGGCTATAATGAAGGGGCCCCAGGACACACAAATAAATACACACAAATAAAACAAATCCTTATATTTTCCAATATTTTCGGGGTTTCTGTCTTCCCCCCCACTTCCCATATTTTCCCATATTTTCTGGGGAATCGAGGATTAATTGTGTCTGTGTGTTTCTTTTCCTCCTGATATAATCGCTCGTGAATTATACGGAATTCACGTCCCCGAGGCAACGATCCTCCATGAATCACATCAGCTTCGCGCCTCCGAGGCCGCGACCCCTCGTAGCTTCCTCGATGTTTTCGCGTCCCCGAGACCACTCCCCAGTGAAAACTATACACCCTGCGAAATGCTTAAGAAATCATGGGTTAAGAAATTCATAGTCTCAGAACTTGCGTAAAAACCCAACATTTCTATTGAAAGCTTAGGATTTACATTGAAACGTTAAGAATAATCGAGACTCTGGCCGAAAACTTAGGTTTTCTTAAGCATCGCCCAAAGGTGTACAATGACCGCGTCCCCGATATGTTTTCCCCTCGGCGGATACCCGCGAGGATGAAAATTGCCGGCTTCCCAACTGATGGGAAGGGGACTCCACCATGCACGTGCAGGCTGGAGCGGAGAAGGAAGAGGACGACAAGAGGAACAGCGGGAGGAGCAGAAGTCCTGGATGCGTCCGCATGTCCGGATGGCATGCCCAGGCCGGGTGGCCCGAAACTGTGAACGTCAGAGAGATGCGCCGTGATATGCAAAAAGTCCGTTAAGCCATACTCCATGACTGCGTCCCAGAGGCCACCATCCCTTGTTAACTACACCATGTTCGTGTCCCCGGGGCTCGCGTCCCCGGGGCTCGCGTCCCCGGGGCTCGCGTCCCCGGGGCTCGCGTCCCCGGGGCTCGCGTCCCCGATGCTCACATCCCCGAGGCCACGATCCTCAGTAAATAATATTGTGGTCGCGTCCCCGAGGCAACGATCCCGCGTGAATTACGCCATGGTCGCGTCCCCGAGGCCACGATCCCTTACAAACTGCGCCCCCGAGGCCACGATCCCGTGCTATGCAGTACTCGCGTTCCCGGTGCCACGACCCTTTGTAGATCACTCCATGTTCGCGTCCCCGAGGCCACGACTCCTTGAAAACTACACCAGTTTCGCGTCCCCGAGACCACGATCCTTGATAAAGTACACGATGTTCACGTGCCTGAGGCCACGATCCATTCTGAATTACACATATGATTCGAGCCCCCGAGGCCACGACCCCTTGTAAATCGCACGACGTTCGCGTCCCCGAGGCAACGATGCCGCGTGAATTACGCAATATTCGCGACCCCGACTATCCCTCGAAAATGACTCGATGTTCGCGCTCCCGAGACCACGATCCTTTGCACAGAATGCTATAGTCGCGTCCACAAGGCCACGATCCCTTGTAAATTTCGCCATGTTCGCGTCGATTCCACGATCTATGTTGAATTCCGCCTTGCTCGCGCCCCCGAGGCCACCGTCCTTCGG